AGGGGAAGGGGGACGGGGGGAGGGGGGGGGGCGGGCAGCAGCCTGCCGTTTGACGGCCTTTTGCTGGACGCGGGTTGATCAGGCGCAGGCCCAGGACGCAGCGCAGGGTGTGGGGCAAGGGGGCAGGGTGTGTGTGTGCGAGGGGTACGGGGGCGCGGGGGGGGGATGTGGAAAACGTACCCTCTTCCTCCTCATCTTCAGCGGCTTCCATCTCGCGGCGCTTCTCCTCCTGGAAGGCAGCGCGGCGGGCCTCCTTCTCCTCGGCCTCACGGCGGGCGGCATCGAGGGCCAGCTCCTCCACAAGACCGTCGACAGTCACAGCGAGGTCGTCAAGGCGTGTGCCCAGTTCAAGGTCACGCTCGCGGCTATGTAGGGAGGGATGGGGGAGGGATGGGGTGAGTGTGGGGGGATGTGGAAGAGGAAGAGAGGGAGAGGGAAGGGTGTGTGTGCGTGTGCTACGTACCCAGACATGGTTTGGTTGCGGGAAGACGACTGTTGTGGTCGGAAGTACGGCGGGCTGCGTTCAGCGTCAGCGCCACGGCACTTTGCCCTTTTCTGGGAGCGAGGGAAGGGAATGGGCGATTCACATCAATGTTTGATGGCGCCAGCCAAGCAACAACCGACAGCAGCCATGGGCAGGTCACGCGACAGCTCATGGCGGAGAGGGAGAGACTGGAGGCGGGAGGTTTGAGGAGCACACGTGACTCTTACAACGCGAGCGAATAGAGATGCGAACAAGTGCGTATGTGGTGGCTTTGGCTGTGGCTGTGGCCATGATGACGGGCTGGACAATGGCGACGGCGGCGAGCGCGACGACGACGACGATGCAGCGGGCCGAGGCGCCGATGCTCGTCGGGTACTCGTTCGAGATGTACATGGCGGAGCACCCGATGGCTGCGGCGCACTTTGTGAGTGAGGGCGTGGACCGCGAGGCTGTGTTTGCAAAGCGGATGGCGGTGATGGTGGCGCACAACGCGCGCTACGCCGCCGGCGAGGAGACCTGGTTCATGGGCCCTAACCTCCACACCGCGCTCACCGACGCAGAGCGGGCTATGGTCCGCGGCCATCAGGCGGAGCTCAAGCAGTTTGCCGGCAAGCATGCCCAGGAGTACCCAGTCGAGGCCGAGGTGGTCAAGGCCCGCGCTGCCGCCGCCCCGTCGCACGTCGACTGGCGCGATCACTCACCGTCGATCGTCACTGCGGTCAAGAACCAGGGCATGGTACGAAAGGGAGTAAGGGTGTGTGTGGCGCTGATGGGTGGGAGGAGAGAAGAGAGCAGACTCGGACTCACATGGCACCCATGGCTGCTTGCGATGACGCTGGCGGACCCATAGTGCGGTTCGTGCTGGTCGTTTGCCACCGCCGAGACGCTCGAGTCGCACTATGCGCTCGCCACCGGCAAGCTGCAGGCGCTGTCGGAGCAGCAGGTGCTCGAGACGCCGAACCCGCAGGCCTGCGGCGGAACCGGCGGGTGCGGCGGCGGTATCCCTCAGCTTGCATACGACTACATGGTCGATGCGTGGAACGGGACACTCGGAGCCGAGTGGACCTACCCGTACGAGTCTTTCTTCGGCAAGAACTTCCCGCCGGTCTCCAACTCGTCGGCGATGAAGGCGCCGGCGGCCAAGCTCTCGGGCTACGTCCAGCTCCCGCTCAACGACCTGGACACGCTCATCGATGCCATCGCCAACGTCGGCCCGGTCGCTATTACCGTGGACGCCTCCAACTGGCACGACTACGCCGGCGGCGTCTTTACCGGATGCAACAAGACCGACATCCACCTGGATCATGATGTCCAGCTCATGGGCTACGGCGACGACCCGCATCTCGGCCCGTACTGGCTCATCCGCAACTCGTGGTCACCCACCTTTGGCGAGGTCGGCTACATCCGCATCGCACGCCACTCGACCCCGCAGTGCGCCAAGGACACCCATCCCGAGGACGGCTTTGCCTGCAAGGGCGGTAAGAAGACCATCACCGTCTGCGGCGAGTGTGGCATTCTCTCAGACTCGTGCTACCCGATCCCGGTCGTGGCGTAATCCCCCCTCTCGGTAACTGGCTCCTCATATTATTGAACTCCATGTCCCAAACCTGGCGTGGCGTGTCTTTACCTCCCCGTCGCTGCCCTGGCCAATTTAGCTCGGTTTGGCTGCCGACAACACGTGCTGACCGGTAACTACGCAGCGGATGACCCGTGGCAGCACCCGTCCCCTCACTACCACCCACCCCACCCATCCCCCCCCACCCCCTCCCCCATATCCCCTTGGTCTACAGGTGACACGGCTGCGGTGGGGCGATTGGTGGGCGAGGCATCAGTCAATATGCTGGTGGATGGCCGCCTGGCATTGGTGGAAGCGGCCGGGGCGGGTCATGATCGGGCGGTGGAGGCGCTGTTGGCGGCTGGGGCAGAGATCGATGGTGTGGATGCCCGTGGATGGTCGCCGTTGTTGGCTGCTGCGGCTGCTGGGCATGATGAAGTTGTCGAGCTACTCGTCGATGCAGAGGCAGAGCTGGATGTCGCCGCCAACGAGCCGGATGGCCTCACTGCCCTCGCTGCTGCTGCCGAGGCTAACGCCCTCGATGCAGCCGAGGTTCTACTGGTGTATGGCGCAGGCGCCACCGTGGCTCCCCCGGCCTGGCTCGGCCTCACTCCCATGCTTCTTGCTGCAGGTCGCGGCTATACTCGCATCGTCGACCTGTTCCTGGAGGAGAGCGCCGGCAAGACGGACGCGCTGACCACTCCTGACGGGCCGCTGGGTCCTGCTGCGCTCGCCGCCCTCGGCGGCCATGGCGAAACCCTCAACGCGCTGATCAAGGCCGGAGTTGTTCCGCCGCGTGCCGGTGTCCCGCTCATCACCGGCATGGTCATGGATCCTGACATCGAGGCGCTCTTGCTCTCCAAGTGCTCGGTTGTCATTGGCCCGCACTCTACCGATCTTGCACCTGCACTTCGCAAGCTGCTTCAGTGGCCCGACGCTTCACCTGCGCCCGCACCTGTATCTGTGCCTGTACCTGCGCCTGCGCCTGCGCCTGCTCCGGCACCGGCACCCGCCCGAAACGGACTCGACGATGACGACCTGCTGCTGCTGCAGGCGCTCGGCGGCTCGTCGGCTACGCTGGCCAATCCCGACCCTTTGCAACCACCCACTGCTGCTGATGACCGCAGCGATGACAACGGCGACGAAGAGTCGCTCGGCGGTGAGTCGGCGTTTGTGGCCGGACACGGCCACGGCTACGACCGCCCGCCGCCCAACCCCATCCCACAGCGGCTGACCTCGATGATGTCGGCCGTCTCGACCGAGACGACCGAGACGACCGAGACCGGTCGCACAGGTGCCATGCGCCGCTACTTAGACGAGCTGGACCAAGAGTACGAAGACGTGTTGGACACTGTCGGCGTCTCTCCCGCCGTCCTCGACTACGAGCACCGCGTACCTGCCGCCAAAGTCCACACCCGCGCTCTTGCTGAGCAAGAGGCCGCCGAAGCCGCGGCCAAGCGGGAGCGGGAGCAAGAGGCCGCCGAAGCCGCGGCCAAGCGGGAGCGGGAGCAAGAGCAACAAGCCGCGGCCAAGCGGAAACGCGAGCAGGCAGAAGCTGCCGCGGCCAAGCGGAAGCGTGAGCAGGCAGAAGCGGCGGCCAAGCGTAAGCGGGAGCAAGAGGCTGCCGAAGCCGCAGCCAAGCGTAAGCGGGAGCAAGAGAAGCAAGCGGCGGCCAAGCGTAAGAGGGAGCAGGCAGAAGCGGCGGCCAAGCGTAAGCGAGAACAGGCAGAAGCAGCAACTGCGGCCGCAGCAGCACGGCGTAGTCACTCGGACCAGGTCCGTCTTCGCCGCGAGGCCGAAGAACGAAAGTACCGAGAAGAGGAGCGGCTGCAGGCCCTCATCGAAGAAGATCGCCGCCGCCAGGCCGCCGCTGACGCTGCAGTCCTCACACCGCTGACGCCCACCTCACCCGTCACACCCACCTCCCCCACACCGGCTGTGGCTGCTGCCGCGGCGTCCATCGAGTCTCTCCAAGACGAGCTGAAAAAGGCTGACGCTACCATCGCGGCGCAGCAGATCAAGATCACCCGTTTGCGGACCGAGCTCGCCTCTGCCAGCGCACAGGTCCGTATCCTCAAGGGCCGCGATGAGACCCGCAGGGCCGCCGCTGCTGGCGTCGCCCTCGCTCGTGGCGACCGCAAGCGGCAAATCGAAGACGAAATCGCTCTCCTCCGCACAGAGTACGCCGCTTTGGTTGCCGCTGACTCGCCACAAAAGCGCGCTTCGCCGTCCAAGGACCGCGCGCGTCAGCGCGAGCTCACTCGTCGCACACCGGCGCGCCACTCCTCACCGCCGCCCGCCGCCCGGCGTCGGGCAGCCTCAACCCGCCCTGGCCAGCGCTCCTCGCCACCTACGCGCTCGTACTACGCGCTCTACAAGCAGGCGCGCGGCCTCCCACCCACGCCGCCGTCGTCTGACGAAGGTGATTTAGTGTACGAGTACGAGTACGCGTCAGACGATGACGACTTTGACGAGCTCGACTACAAGCCGCGGATCCGCACCCGCCCGCGCGCAATGACCAATTCACCTGCTCCATCACGTCGTCCGCACCCTTCCGCGCGGCGCAGGTCACCGCATCGCGCTCGCCGCACCCGCAAGGTTCGCAAAGTGCCCAAGCCGTCGTACATGCGCTCGTCCCGCGACGAGGCCCGGGTCCGTGCTCTGCGCGCAGAACTCGAGGCCCGCGAGCTCGAGCCGTGCTCGTTCAAGCCGAAGCTCAACACCCATTCTCGTGCCCTTCTCGAGCGCCGCAAACGCCGCACGTCTGACACCAGGCCCGCGTCCGGCCCAGAGCCCAAGTCCGAGCATGACGCCACCGCAGCTCCAACCCGCTTTCTCCAACCCGGATTTGTCCCCTCACCGGACCGTGAATCACGCGCCCGCTCGCGCTCGCGCTCACGCCCGCGCCATCACCAGCCGCGGGTCGGCCCAAAGTCGGCAAAGAACCATGGTGCTGTCTCGGACTCACACTCGGTCTCCTGCAGCCGACCTTCCCAAGCTTAACGCGTCGTCTGGCTCGCTTGAGCTCCGTAGCGTGCTCCGCCACTCCCGGCGATAGTTGCCACTATCTCGTCCGGAGGGCAGGAGGTGGATCAAAGTCCGCGGGTGAGAGCGATGTGGAGCCACGGCTGGTCTTGGAAGCGCCTTCGAGGTTCGCAGAGCGACGGAGGTCGACTGTCGAGGAGGTGGCGATTGGGCCGACTCGGCTGGACTGCCTGCGGAAGAACGAGCGCTGGCGAGGACGCCCGAGGGCCGACGCCGCTGGAGTCGCCGAGGCGGCGTTTGATGTCGACGGCATGATGAGCGTGGATGAGAGCGCGAGCGAGGGCCGGGCGGAGGTCTCGGTCGTTTTGGAGGGAGTAGTAAAGATACGTGAGTCCGACGACCGCATCGAAGAGCCTGAAATCGACTTTCGTCGACGGGTCCGCCGTGAAATCGATCGGGAGCCCGACCGCGACATGGTTGCGTTGCGGCTCATCGAGTAAGCGGTAGGCCGCTGTGGATCACGCGCCGAGAGTGGAACCCTCGACAAAGAGAGAGTGCCGTCATAGGCGACAGAAATGGAGCGCATGCTGGCGAGCGAGGTGGACCGCTCACGGCTACTATCACTGCCGAGTCTGGGCGAGAGGTGGAGCTGAGATGCATCACGGACGCGCCGGCGGCGGCGCTGGTTTCGAGTTGACTGCGAATTGAGACTCTGCAACTCGCCCATAACCTCGACCAGGCCAGAGAGCGAGGTCATGGACTGCTTCTTAACCTTGTGCGAACCGTGGCGGGTGGAGATGGTACGGAACGACTCGATCGACAGCCTCGGCTGCGAGGCAGACGAGGCGCGAGGCGCCCTTGGCGATGACGAGACTACGCGACGGCGAGTGGATGAGGCTGAAGGTGTGGCTGAGATGGAGCTCCGCCGCTCAGTTGGCGACCGGTGAGCGGATCGGCGGGGACTGTTCGGCACAGAAGCAAACGCCAAGGTGTCACTGGTGTTGTCGTCGCGCAACGGCGGCGCCGAGAGTGCTGGCGTGTACGCCATCTCGATGGGCTCGACATCAACCCGACGGCTCGCCAGCGCGTCCTGCAGCTGCTGCTCCTGGTGCACGGATTGCTGCCGCCAGATCTGAATGATGGCGGCAAAGAGAGCAACCGAGGTGACGATGCCGAGTCCGCCCACAAAGTAAAGGAGCGGCGAGTGTGTGTAGACAAAGTACAGGATCTGACCGCATGAGGCAATGCCAGCGCCGTACGAGAGCCAGGCGTGAAGGGGTGCGAATGGGTTGATGACGGCCACGGTAAGGATGCTGATGGCAAAGTTGACGAGAGCGGCAAAAAGGCGCGCGTCCGGCTGGATGACGAGGACTGATTCGGCGGCAAAGGCAAACGAGATGAGGAGCTGAAGCGAGCGGAACCAGAGGCGGCCGGCGCGCAGGCCCCGGACGAAAACGCCGTACCGTTCAAGGACAAGCGGTCCAATGGCTGCATTGCGAGCGAGAGAGAGCGCAATGATCACGACAAAAACGGGAAGGCCGAGCGAGAAAAGGACGAGAACGGCCCAGGCGAGGAGGGCAACGGTCATGTGCTTGCCGTGGTAGCACAACTCAGTCAGCTCGATGTTAAGGCGCAGCTTACCATCGCCAGCTTTGACGCAGTGAAGGGCCTGGATGGAACGGACAGCCAGCTGGAGATAGGCAAGGGTGCCGAGGATGATGACTGCATGAACGTAGCGCGAGCGATGCCGGCGCGCGACAGCCATCTTGAGCTCGGCAGCAACCTGGATCGGCGCCGACGCAAGATGCCGCGGAGTGCCTGGCGCAAAGAGCTGGCGAAGGAGGACGGCGAGAAGAAAGAGAAAGCCTGCACCGACTATCAGCGCGAGCGTGCCAAAGTATATGGTGGAGAACGGGATGCGCGGGACCGCGCACCCCGGGCGCAGCATCTCGATCTCAAAGTTGATGATCGATGCGAGCCGGGTGAGCGCGGCGACCACCGGCGTGCCTTCTGATTCGGAGACCATCTGGAAGCCCATCCGGAGCGCCATCGAGAACTGCTGCAGTAAAACAACGGCGGCGACGACCATGACTAGCCGCTGGGCGGAGAAAACCACGAGAGCAATGGCAACAAGCGCCATAAATGCGACAAAGGCGAGAACAACAACGGTGAGCTCGGCGTAAATTGATGAGTCGGAGCCACAGGAGCGGCACACGCCGTTGTCGGAGTAAAACCCGGGTGCACAGGCGGCACAGAAGCGGCCGGTATAGCCAGCGGCACAGACGGCAGTGATGCGGCGGCCATTTGATGTGGCGAGCGGAAGCGCACCTGCGCCGCCGACGGCGCCGGGACAGGCGTGCGGGATGCGGCATCGGGTCGGCGGCTCGTACTCGTTGTCGGACCAGAAGCCTGGGAGTGGCCACATGCGTCGGCCGCCGGGGCAGTGGGCGCCATCAAAGTCCGAGCAGGGTCGGCAGACGGCGGCGTGGAGGACAAAGCCGACGTGAATGCACGGGCCGTTGATGTAGTCAAGGGCGCGCGGGAGGAGGAAGCGCTGCGGCGGCGCAGACGAATTAGCGCGGAGCGAGCGAACGAGAGTCACAGCATGGTAGCCGGTCTTGTTGGAAGGAAAGGCGCCAAAGATGATGCGAGATCCATCAGTGGTACGCGATACAGTGGCGATGGTGGCGATGATGGGTGCGTCGGCCGTGGGACTGAGCCACCGCTCACACTCGAGGCTGATGTCGTAGAGAGAGGCATCAAAGAAGGCGTTGGCGTCGCCGGCGGCAGACATTTCGAGAAGGATGCCGCCATTGAGTGGCGCGGCTGCCGGGTGGACCTGGAGGATGATAGACGAAGTCGATTGCGATTGTGGCATCGTCGGTGGCGATTGCGGCAGCGGTGGGTGTGATGGAGGTGGCGGCGATGGGGGCGGAGCCAGCGCTGGCTCTGGGGCGCACCCGGCTGCACTCACTTGCGGTGAGTAACTACCGGAAGATTGGCAAGTGAGGGTGGTCGATGAGGTGGGGACGTAGCCCGGATGGCACGAGTAGGAGATGGCGTCGCCGACAGCAGCGTTCGGGCCACCTGTTGTGGCATCCGCAGCGACGTCTCCATTGACGAGAGCGACTTTGGGACAGACCTCGTAGAAGCCGATCTTGAGCGAAATGTCACTGGCATGCATGATACAACAATTGCCAGATGGACAGAGACCGCCAAGCTCTTCAAAGCGGAGAACTGCGGCGGTGCCTGCGCCCCAGCGAGGCGCGTCGACCATGCGCTGCAGTACTTCGACGAGAACAGAACCAGCAAAGGAGACAGCAGAGCCACCCGAGTCAAGGATCTCGCCAAAGTCCAGAAGATCCGAGTTAAAGTTGTCGAGCGAGCCGGTCGTGGTCCACTCTGCGCCGTCAGGATGACCCGCCTTCTGGGCAGCAGTGACATCAAAGTAGCCGATGCCGAGGCCTGTGGGGGAGTGATCGAGGGAGATGCTCGAGGGAATATTGATGGCAGCATCTGCGATTAGCAGATGGCCAGTTGACGAGGTGAGCGGTGATGAGAGCGGGAAGCACGCAGCATAGCGGAAGTTGTGCTCGACGTCGAGTTCGAGATGCGGCACGCTTCCGGACAGAATGGCCCCGGATGTACGATTCATGCGGACAACACTGGTCAGGGTTCCCGAGGTGATGTACTGGGTGGCAGCTATTGACGGGTGTTGCAAGATTGTGAGGATGGCGATGATGATGGTGGTGGTGAGGGTGGTGATGAGGACTTGCTGCCTTGCCATTGCGTTTGGATGCCAAAGAACAGTCGTTGGTGGCGAGTGACGGGTGGAGCTAGGTGCGGCACAAGACAATCGCGACGAGCAGCGGCCGCCGTAAGGAGGATTAAGGGCAGACTAGCGGTGGTGATGACGTCGTGGAGGGCTTGTAATGCGGTGGTGTGGTGGAGGAGGCTGACGGGGGGAGGGGGCGGGGCGGGGGGGGGGCCAAGAGGCTGGTCAAGCGTGGAGAGGTAGTGCGGGCGAAACTATCGTCACTGCGCGGATGCGGCAATGTTAATTGCGTCACACCGAGACCAAAATGTGCGGATCGTCGAATTAACACGATTATGTACCGGGACAGACGCAACCCCCTCCCCCCCCCCCCTATTGGCGATGGCGAGCGGCTTCGGCGGGAGGAGGAGGGAGCTACGTCGAGCGTTGCGGAGAGTGGGAGAGTGGACAGCTTGGTGCGATCAGTTGCACGAAGCTGCGGTCGAGGCTGAGCACCTGCCCGCGCATGCAGAAGCAGGAGAGGTTCCATCGAGCTCGCAGAACGAAGTGAGCTTGGTGGAGAGTGCGTCGAGTTCGTGGCGGAGGACGGGTGGCATGTCAGCAGGGGTGATGGCGTCGATGGCGTCGAGGACCGCGGACGGCGAGGTAGAGATGGCCGACGTAGCTTGGGCACGGAGCGGGCAGTTGCGCGGAAAGGCAAGGAGGACGAGGACAAAAATGTGGGCAGGGGTGAGGGTGAACAATCCGGGATGTGACGTGCTCGAGTCGAGGCTGGTGGCTGGAAGCGCGTCGGCGGCGAGGGCAAAGATAGGGAGGTCGGCGATGGCGGACGCGAGCTCGCGGCAGTAGTCAGCAAGGGCACGGGCTCCCGGCACGGTTGGATCCGGTGGGGCGGCGGCTACGCCGAGGGCAGACCAGAGCCTGGTCTCCAGCGTGGCGGCTGAGGCAATGGCATCGTGGATAGAGCACGACGAGCTGCAGTGTTGCGAGAAGGTCGGGATGAGATCGGCGAGGTCAGCGAGGACACCGACGAGCTGCGAGCTGCTCTTGACTCGGCACAGCGACGCGAGCGGAGCGTCGCTGGACGACTTGGCAAGCACCATCCAGCCGCGCGGGCGGGCTGTGGCCGGATCGAGCGAGCATGCCATGGCAGCGGCAACAAGCGGAAGCGGGGCCCAATGCGGCGGGTGCTTGAAGCGGGCGACGTCAAGAATGAGAACCGAGTCGGAGGAGGCATGGTAGCCCCCGATAGGCGAAAAGTGACCGGTTCCGGTCTGGCCAAGCCCGCTGCGGTCGTATGCAATGACCAGCGCCGAGCCTGCCGGCTCTCGCACTGACCTGATGACATCTGCACGAAAGGCGTCTTCCGAGAACTCGTCTTCATCAGCGCGGCAGGCCGTCACCACCTCGAGCGCATTGCATTTTGCGAGGCAGGCGAACTCATCGAACGAGATGCCTTCTTCCTTGATCTTGTCGAGGGCTGGAGGGGTGAAGGGGTGAGGGTGAGGGTGAGTGAGAGGGAGGGGGAGGAGTGGGGGGTGGGGGGTGGGGGGAGGATGATGTGTGTGGTGATGGGGGGTGGGGGAAGATGATATGTGTGGTGATGGGGGTGATGATGATGATGATGATGGTCATCTTCATGATGACCATCATCACCACTACGATGACCTTCTCCATGATGGCCATCCCCACCATGACCATCTCCATGATGCTCATCCCCACCATGACCATCTCCATGATGCTCATCCCCACCATGATCTTCTCCATGATGGCCATCCCCACCATGACCGGGGGTGATATTGATGAGGCGTACGCTTGCAGCAATCCAGCAGCTCCTCATCATACCATCGCCATACACCCTTCCACACTCTCTTGGGATCGACAGCAAGAGCATTGAGAACCATGACCAGAGTGCCCAAGCCACAGAAGGCTGGCTCAGCCTGGGTGGTGAACTGCTCCACTAAGGAGAAGAAGACCTCCATATTGCCCTCGGACAGAGCCTCAGCAAACATCTTCCTCCCACGGACAGACGAGAACGCCACACACGTCTCCGGCAGAGGTCGTCGGTAGAACGACGTGTCATTCATACGTGCTGCTGATGGCTGCTCTCGATGGCTGTTGGTAGTGGGCGTTGCGTCAAGTGGTTGCTGGTGTGCCCGTGGCTGTGACCCGACACGGTCACTCGGCGCCTGTCCAACTCGTCTTGTCGCTCCATGGCCTACCTGCTGCTCAATCGGCTGCATCCTACCACGGGTCACCTTTGGATACCGACGCGGATCTGCTTCTAACGCCTTGCTCTGACATCGCTCATCATCTCGCTTCCGGTTCACGCTGCCGATGAAATCAACAACGTGGCAGTCGCCATACGGAGGTCGCCTGGTCGCCGCCGATCTGTTTCGTCGCTAATGTGTGGATGGCTGGGTTAGGGGGAAAGAGGGAGGGAAGAGTATCATTGCGCAAAGGCGTGCGAGACAAACTCACGGAGATCATCGACGCCTTGGCCGGTGAGAGCGGCGCCGGCGGTGAAACGGACGGTGTAGGGCACCGCAGCAAAGTCAAAGCGGGCGGAGGGCGGGCGAAGGGCAGCAAGGGCGGCGGCCTGAGCGGCGGCATCCGGGTCCTCGCCGTCGGTATCCTCCAGCCGCGAGGTGTGCATGTCAATGAGGGTGGAGATCTCGTCAGCGAGCGCGTTCTCCAGAGCAAGAGGCGAGCATGCCGACGGCACATCGGCCTTGTTGCAGAAGACCAGCAGCGGCGTGGCGTTGGCCACCATCGCCGGCTCCTTCATGACGGTGAACAGATGCTCGGCCGTGACGCGGAGAACCTTGGCATCAGCCGCAGCCACCGCATCGACAACAAAGACCACCGCCGCCGCAGACGATACCGCCTGGTGGAGCTTGTACCGCAGCGAGGGATGGCCTGGCAGATCAAGGACCGGCAGGGCGGCGCGGAAGGTGTACCGCCTTGCGCTCGGCGCCGCTGGGCCCGCCGTAGACTGGGCATTGAGCCACTCGAGCGGAAGCAGGCCACGGTTCTCCTCCATAGAGGTATGGCACTTGCGAAGGGCAGAGGAGTCGCCACCAGCCACGGCGACCTGGAACAACGTTGTCTTGCCCGTCCCAGACTCGCCGAGGAGCACCACACACGAGCCACGACGACGGACCGACGAGGTTCTGAGCGAGTACGCCACCTGCCCAGCAACCACCACCATGACAGCAGCAACCACATACGTCCGGCACAGGTCAGTCGTAGGCAGACCAGCCATTGCCAGCGGAGCATCGAGGATCCATTCTGTGGGAACCGTCCGTAAGAAGAGGTGTGAGTCCGAGGGGAGGGAGGGAGGGGTGGGGAGGGGGGGGGGGGGGGGGGCTACCGGGTGTGGCTTCAGCTACGAGCTTGGGGAGGAATAGCAGCCAGTCCATGGTGGGAGGAGTGTGGGTGGGATGGGTGGAAGGAGAAGAGGAGGGAAGGGAGGGGGGGAGGGGGGGTGAGGAGGGGGGAGAGGTGGGTCTAGTTGTTGGTTCTGGGCCTGGGGCTGGGCCTGGGCCTGGGGCTCGGGTGGTGATGCGGTCGGTCGGTCGGTCGGTCGGTCGTCGGGTGGTGACACGGCGGTTGGACGACGCGTGGGAAGGCTGATCAAGCGCGTGTAGCGGCACGAGACGATATCAGCTGAGTACTACTACATTGGGTGATTCAATCAGGGATCATATCTTCCAGAGTTGGGCGAGCGAGCGACGTGGATGAAGCGGTCGAGCTCGTCAAAAGGCAAGGCGCGATGGCGCGACGTTGGCCATGACGCGCAGCTGCCGACGCCGGTAGGATGGTCATGCGGGCGATGCACGTGCGATGCACTCTGTGTCTCAGGCTACATCGATAGCTACTGCGGGGTGTGCAGAGGGTTTAGGCATCATCGTCCGAGTCGTCGTTGTCGCTGTTTCCAGCCAAGATCGGGCCGCCGGCCTCGTCGGGCGACCCGCACGGTGGGTGGTGGTGGTCGGAGCGCGACTGCATGTCATCGTCATCGTCGTCGTCATCGCTAGAAGCGCGGCGGAGAGTACGCTTGCGCTGAGCAAGTGTCTCCATGGAACTGTCGAGGGCGTGGACCGAGCCGGAGATGTTGAGGTCGTCCGAGTCCGAGTCGACGGCCAGCGAGGGCTGAGCCATGTCGTGGGCGTCGTCGCCACCCTGCATAGCACCGCGCTCGTGAGGCATGAGCGCGGCCTGGGTACGGAAAGCATAGAACATGGGGTAGTGGATAATGTTGGTGACTGACGAGGCATAGAGATCAGCAAAGCGCTCGACTTGCGAGGCAAAGAGGGTTTTGCGCGAGCCGGTGCGAAGGCCGAGCCAAAGGTGGTCTTGTGCAGCCGCTTGACGGTGGCGCGGATCTCAGCGTGGATATCCTTGACGTTCGGCGGGTTGACCGCCGACGAGTCGAGGCCGCGGTAGATCTCGGCGAGCATAAACTCGAGGTTGGCAAGGTGCACAAACTCCGAGGTCGAGTTGCGGAACGAGTTGAGCTCGTCGACCAGTTCGCGGACAACCAGCAGCGTCCGCCAGCCCGAGTTCTTCTTGCTCTTGATCACGTCACCAAAGATATGATCGCCAATGTACAGCACGTCCGGCCCACGGGCACCGGTCAGCTCGCAGAACGTCGACAGCGAGCCACCGTGGTAGACGGCGCCGTCCTCGAACGCCGTGATGCGGTGGAGCTTGAGGTTGCCTGTCGCCACCTCGACCTCGCGGAGAGCGGTGCCCTTGCCAAAGAAGAGCGGCTTGCGCGCCGAGACAATGGCCACGTCAAAAAACGATCGCCAGTTCGGGTAGTCGGCGGTGTAGGACGGCGCAAGCAGGTAGTCCATGATGATGTTGGTGTACGCGTACGGTGAGTTGGTGAGCAGGAAGACCTTGGCCTTGGTCCGGAACCGCAGCAGCAGGTCGGCCAGCCGCGGCGCAGGCTCGACATACATCTCCAGGTCGGCCGTTGTCGCATCCTTCAGCTCGCCCGAGTAGTGGATGTGGTCAACGGCGGCACGGAGGTCGATGAACAGTGCCTCGAACGAGAGCGACAGCTTCTCGTCGTCGATGCCGAGCTCCGACGACTCCATCTCCGACTCAAAAAGCGAGATGAGGTCGGCGTAGAGGCAAATCTCCGGCATGGAGAAGAGCGTGTCGTAGAGGTGGAACCGCCGGCCCGAGCCGACCTTGGCCAGGTTGATAAACTTGGACGGGTACTTTTCCGCCGTCGTCAACCGCCGCCGCCCGTGCGTCGCCGCAAGAATGGTACCGTACTGGTCGAGCTTGAGCAGGTTGCCGAGCTTGGTGTCGAGGCAGAGGCCACGGATTGGAAAGCTCGCGTCGTAAGAGAGCGTCCTGATCGACTCGGGATAGCCCATCGCCACCAGCCGGTTGACAATCAGCCGGTACTGCAGCGCCTCGTACTGCGGCGACTTGTACTCGCAGATGGTGTGGTCCATGTCAAACCCGACGTGCTTGACAGACTCGAGCCGGAGCCCGCGCACCACATACACTCGATTCTCCGGCTCGCGCTTGTACGTCGGCGGCAGATCGTGCATGTTGGCATCCGAGTACTGCCGCAGCTCGGCGGCCGTCGGCGGATTTGACAGATCCTCCAGCCGCAGCCGCCGCGAGCTCACCACCGGACCCGCCGCCCCAGTGCTCCCATCATCCGACGCCGATCGAGAACTACCACCAACTGTGAGTCGTACTCCCTCCAGCTGTCGATGACGCGTTTTCCCCGCATACGACACTGTCGCCACCACCGCCACCACCGCCACCGCCCCCCAGCCGCAGCCACAGCGCCACGCCGAGGACAAACCACGCCCACCTCCTCCGAGACCCACCCAGTGGGCCACCCAAATACACACACACACATTGCCACATGCCTAGCACATGCCTCACGCAAGCATATGCCGCATACTGCTGTTCCTCTTTGATTGCAGCTCTGGCTCCCTCCCCCCCCCCCCCCCTCCCCCCTCCCCCCCCCGCGCTCCCACACCTCCACACACGTACCGACGAAGATCCATGAGTCGCGATGACGGCGACATGGCCATGGCGAGAGGAGGCGTTTCGTAGGAAGGTGTATTGTTTCCGCTTGACATAATGAGTAAGATATGACAGCTTCTACGCTTCCGCCTCCCTCGCAGAGTGTGTCCTGGCGGCCTTTGTTGCTGCGCCGGGAAGGAGTGCCACGTGGGTATGCGGTGGGCGGGTGAGGTTCTGGAGACGGCAGCCAATTTAAACCTTCAAAAAAAACTCAATTTTTGTTCCTTCACCCTCTGGTCACATGCCGAGGCGGAGGGCAAACATGGTTCAGCTGCCGAGGCTAGAATCCGGACAGAAGCCGCAAGCAGCCTGGCTCACCGCTGTGTCATCTCTCTCCACTTTACCCCCCCCCCTTCGCCTCGCCCTGGCACCACGGCGAGTTCCCTATGGGCTGCGGGTCGTCGCGGACTTCGTCTGCCTTCCCCCGCCATCGGCAAGCGGGAGCTGGCAGAGCGGAGAGCAGAGCGGTCCCAGCGGGCGACGGCTCGGGCGAGGACAAGGCGGACGTGAGCACAAGCCCTTGCCAGAGCACCAAGTCGTGGTCAAGTTTGCGCCACATCCGCATGGCTCTCCGCTGGTGGGCGGCGAGAGACGGGCGAATGACAATAGGCAGACCACGGCAACTACAAGCCGGGCGCTCATCAAGCACCGATTCGACTCGGGCAGACCGTCGTACTTTGAGGTGCTCGGCGCGGCAGCTAGGGCCATCTATGCAGAGTCGGGCGCAAGAGACCTGTCGGTCGATGAGCTGAACAACCTGGAGATCGATCTGGTGTTCTTTGACCAGGACGGAGACCCTATTCTCATCTTTGATGAGGCCTCGTGGCTGCTGGCTTTGGATGACGCCAAGGCCATGGCGTCGCGGGCTGCCACAAGTCGTGATCTTGCTCGCAAAGCACCCGCATCGCCGCAGCGCTCGCGCCCGCCTACGCTGGTCTTGGAGGTTCGATTCTCGTCCAAGCGCCGCAGGTCTAAACGGCTCACCCGCCTCGGCTCAGGCCGATCGCGAGCCGGACGAAGCTCGCCGGCACCTGCGCTCTCGCCGGTGCTCGAGGCCAAGAGCAACACACATGCAACCAGTAAGAGCGGCGAGGACTCGTCGCCGAGCTCGGGCTTTCTGCCTAGCGCGGCGCTACCGCCGCGACCACCGGGACGGGCGCACGGCTTGGGCTCGTCGTCGTCGTCGGTTGGCATCATCTTGCCTGTGCCTTCCAGCAACGGGCCGGTGGTACCTGTCGAGATGACCAGCACTTACTCGATGGCCTCGGGTGAGTCGCGGGCGGTGGAGATTGACGAGCCGTCGACGCCGTCGCAGACCAGTCCGCCGACGGCGGCGGTTGCTCCAAGGCCGACCACCTTTGGCGACCGGACCGGTGTTGAAGGTGGCGACCTCTCGTTTGTCCACATCACCAAGCATATTTCATCACCAGAGGTCTCATCCGCATGTGACGAGGTGGTGCTGGCGTCGGCCTCTGAGTGTCGCACGCCGACCACGCCGCTGCCCGAGCGCTCACCGCGGATGCGGCCATCGCCGCGGACGCTGGTACGTGGCACTCGGGCAAGTCCACGGATGACCGCGGCAACAGGCGTCATGGGCTCACGTCCGCTGGATTTGGGCGAGAAGAGCGCTGAGCTGTCGCAGTCGCTGGCAGCCCGCACGGTTGCTGCGGCAGGTGGGCTCACCGAGCCGCAGCTTGTGTTTGACGATGATGAGAAGGATCTGTTTGACTCTTTCGACTCTAGCTCGAGCAGCAGCCGCAACAGTAGCAGCAGCAGTAGCCATGGTAGTGGCCGCAACAGCCCTGTGGTGGCGGGAACGAGCGAACTGGAAGTCATCTTTGACGACGACGAGAACGCGTTATTTGCTTCGATCAACTCGGACTCAACATCGTCTTCGGGCTCGGGCTCAGGCTCGGGCTCGAGATCGGGCTCTGAGGCTGGTGAACCGCTCAGCGATGAGCGGCCGGAACCGCAGACCTCGCCAGTGCCCGAGCCTGATCTGGTATTTGACGGAGAAGTGGCCGAGGCCGAGGCGGTTGCGGCCAAGGACGGTGCGATCCGTTGGAAGCGCGGACGGCTCCTTGGAATGGGCGCGTTTGGTAAGGTCTACATTGGCATCGACCTCGACCGGCACCAGCCGATGGCGGTCAAGGTTGTCGAGTTTGTGCCGCCACCCCACCCGCGTGGTGAGAAGGCCGACGGCGAGCTGCCGGCGACGATGCTGCGAGAAATGACCGAGGCCGAGCGTGAGATCGAGCTGTTGAAGAGCTTGCGGCACGACAACATTGTGCGGTACATCGGGGCGAGCAAGGTGGTAGACAGCGCAGGAACCCATGCGCTGCATATTTTTCTCGAGTTTGTTGGCTGCGGCTCGCTGGCGACGCTCCTTGCGCACCATCGCAACGCCGACGGCTCGGCCGGTCTCGACGAGGCGACGAGCCGAGCGTACATGTACCAGATTCTGGAGGGCCTGTTGCATCTGCACGATCACAAGGTCATCCACCGCGACATCAAGGCCGGCAACGTGCTCATTTCCAAGCAGCCGAGCTTCCCTGCGCTGCACACGATGAAGATTGCCGACTTTGGGGCGTCGACCACGTTTTCGACGGTGGCACCGGTTCACGGGCACACGCTTGCGGGCACGCCCAACTTTATGGCGCCCGAGGTGATCCGGCAAGAGGGCCACAGCCTCAAGGCCGACATTTGGTCGGTCGGCTGCCTGGTCATTGAGATGCTGACCGGCCTCCCGCCGTGGCCCAAGTCGGAGCCGATGGCAGTGCTATTCTCGGTGGCCCAGCACAAGCGGACGCCACCGCTGCCCAATGGCATCTCAGCCGCACTGGGAGATTTCCTCGCCCGGTGCTTTGCCCACAACCCGGCGCAGCGACCATCGGCCGCAGCCCTGCTGCGGCACGCCTGGTTCGACGGCATCGCTCAGCTTCCGGCAGACTCGCTCGATGCCACGGTTGTCGCCGCCATTGACATCGACGACATCGCCGCCGAGATCGACGAGCTCATGGCGGCGTCGCATGCCGCGCGGCCGAACGCCAAAGTCTCGTTCTCGTTTGCGAGCCACGCCAAGGCCTCGACTCGCATCAACGCCCACGACGAGAAGCCGCTATCAGCCACCAAAAGCCTGGCTGAGCGCTACGCCGAGCTCCTGGCCAGCGGTGACGATGACGCCCTGGCCGAGTTCGAGGCTGAGATGGAGGCGTCGGCTGCGCCGACCCGCACCGCCTCGGGCCGCCTTCGCCGCGACTAGCCCATTCTGGCTGGCGACAGCTACCAGTAGAGCGTGCCCGGCGCGCCTTTGGCCGTGCCCACAATTTCGGGCGTGAGCCAGCCGCCGTAAAACGAGCCGGGCTGTGGCACCGCCAGATCATCGTCGACGTACGCGGCCTCGACTCGCCCTGCGTAGAATGCGATACAGCCCTTGATAGCTGTAAACGCCTCGGTCGGCTCGGGGTACGACCAGGCGGCGCGGACAAGGCGATCGCCGTCCGGCACCAACACATCCCAGTATGTGGCGAGGCCCTTCCACTCACAGAACGTGGAGTGCGGCTCACAGCTTGGCACCACTCGCTCGAGATCGATGTCGGCGAGCGGGATGTAGTACGTGGGTGCGTGATGGGTCTCGGCAACGCGGATGGCCGCGCAGGTCTCGGCCACCACTGCCCCGCCATGCTCGACTCGGATCCGCCACGGGACGGGCTTGACTTGGGGTGGGCGCGGAAAGTCAACAACGTTTTCGGTCGGCCGTGGCTCGCAGCGCGGCGACGACCTCGGCTCTGCTGCCATGCTCGGCTCAAGTCGTGTGCCGTTGGTCCCGCCCACAACAGCAGGTGTGCCCAAGGTGCGCAAGAGCTGTCGATGCATGTCGTCATCCACACTATTTTTTGTTGCACCCCCCACCCCCCACCCCCCCTGTCCTCTCCAACCTGAGCCCTTGCGAAACGAAACGCGTCAGCTTGCCGACAACAAGCGAGCTGTATTCCGCCTCGCTCGCGCTTGCCACCCAACTCAAACACCTTTACCGCCTTCACCAACATGCTTCGTGCCGCTACTACCTCGCTCGCTGCCGCCCGCGCTGTGACGCATACGCAGACTGCCGCCATTTCTGTGGCCTCTTCGGTCTTTCTTGTGACCGGTGGCGGCTCGGGCCTCGGCGGAGCAACAGCCGAGGCCATTGTGGCTGGCGGCGGCAAGGTCGGCATCATCGACATCGACGGCGAGAAGGCCGAGGCTATGGCGGAGAAGCTCGGTGCCGAGTCGGCCGTCGCCTTCCAGGCGGACGTCACCTCGGTCGACCAGATCAAGGCTGCCGTCGACGGGACGGTGGCCAAGTTTGGCAAGCTCAACGGCGCGGTCAACGCGGCTGGCATTGCCAACGCGACCCGGCTGCTGAAGACCGACCTGGACACCATCCGCAAGGTCTACGACGTCAACGTTGTCGGCACCATCAACACCATCCAGCAGGCGACACTCGCCATGAACGAGATGGAGCCCGATGCCGAGTCGGGTGAGCGCGGCGCGTTTGTCAACACCGCCTCGGTCGCCGCCTTTGACGGCCAGATCGGCCAGGTCGCGTACTCGGCCTCCAAGGGTGCCATCCATGCCCTCTCCATCGTCCTCGCCCGTGAGCTGACCGGCTACGGCATCCGCTGCAACACCATCGCCCCGGGCATCTTCGACACCCCGCTCCTCGCCTCGCTCCCGGAAAAGGCCCGCCAGTCGCTCGCCAACCAGGTGCCGTTCCCCAAGCGGCTCGGTGACCCCGCCGAGTTTGGCAAGGCCGCCGTCGCCATCATCGAGAATGGCTACCTCAACGGCGAGACCATCCGTGTCGACGGCGCCCTCCGCATGGCCGCCAACTAATGCATTTGCCCTCACCCTGGCACCGCGCCCTTTTGCCTCGCACCTCTGCGCACCCAGTACGACTTCCCCGTTGTACGTGCACTCTCCCCATGCGTAAAGGTAGCCGATTTTGCGCACATCTCTTGGGCGATTCTTGTTTATTTTCCACCTCACTCTTATACTCCACTTCTATCGACCCCACGCCTCCCCAACGCTCACGCCTATTCCTCACTCTGCGCGATCCGACCCTCACGCTACTGACTGGTGTAGAGAATGTGGCTTGCACTCGCCACTTTGCAGTGTTCATGAGTCACGAGGGCATACAGCAGGGAGGCGGAGGGGTAATAGAAGAGAAGATAGGCAGAGCAAATTGGGAAGGCACAAAAATGGCGGACGACCGGGACACTATACCGCTACAGCCAACATCATCGCGCGGCAACCGCGCTGCCCGGCCCCCCACCGGCGGCGCAGTATACTTAACGACCACACTTGTCTGGAGACCCGGCGGGAGCTCTACGTGCCACACACCAGTCCCTCCTCTCGCCAACCTCCCTCCCCCCCTCTCCCCCTCTCCACTTCACCCACACCCGGCCTTGTCTGCCCCCCCCTGCGGCGGTCTCTGGGTGGCGACGAACAAGGGAAAAAATTCTCGTCGGGACGACAAACCGTACGTTCCTCCCCCCCCTTTCAATCAATGACTCGATGTATTTTCGCCATGCTGCCGTCTGCCAGCTGGCGGCTTCCCGTCCCGCCTTTCCCCACCCCCTCCCCCCCCCCCGCCCCTGTCTTGCCCTCCCGCTACCACCAGCCAGCCTGCACACCAACACGAGCCTTCCTCCTATACTCTAGCTGTTGCCTCTTTTGTCACCGTCTTTGGGTCCTCTTTCGCATCTCCTCCTTCCCTCTGCCCCCCCCCCACGCCCCCATCCCTCGCCCCCTACTGCGGTTGTCTTTACCCCGGAAAGCTGGTCGCTCCAGCGTGGATCGTTGGTGGCAGCGCTCGCAGCCCGGCTGGCGAGTGGCCTCGCGCAACTTTTTGATTCGTCCACCCCCCACCCGCGTACGGTCACTCACCTCCTCTCCTTCCTCTCCCCTTTTGTCTCCAGAACCAAGCGTCATGAGTGGTACCTCACTAGAGGCCAACGAGTCGCTAGACATGTCCTCGCCGGCACGCGGTGACGCGCTCCTTGCGCCAACAAACGAATCGCTCGACGAGTCGACCGGGCCGGTCGAGATGGAGACCGAGCCAGTGGCGGCTGCCGAGCAAGCAGGCACTGGGGCGGACGGCAGCATGGCGGCGCCGCAGGCTGGAGTCGAGGCGTCGGGCCAGCCCAAGGTGGAGGATGCCCTGCTGTACCTGGAGCAGGTGAAGATCCAGTTCCGCGAGCAGCCCGAGGTGTACGACGCGTTTCTGGACATCATGAAGGACTTTAAGGCGCACAACATCGACACTCCCGGTGTCATCCAGCGGGTTCGGACGCTCTTCCGCGGACACCGCGACCTCATCTTTGGCTTCAACACCTTTCTCCCACCGGGCTACAAGATCGAGCTCGACGACCTCCGTGACGAGCCGGAGCCGCCGAAGCGGGCCAGCAGCAGCACGGCGCGGCCGGCCAAGAAGGGCGGGCGCAAGAAGCGGGTGTCGAACAGCTCGCGGGCGCGGCGCGGCGGCATGCGCAAGCGTGACGGTGTGTCGGCGGCGGCCGAGCCCAAGAGCCTTGACACGGCGCTCAACTACGTGAACAAGATCAAGCAACGGTTCGAGAGTAACCCCGAGGTGTACACGGTCTTTCTCGAGATTCTGCAGACGTACCAGCGCGAGGTGCGGACGATCACCGAGGTCTACGACGAGGTCTCGCGGCTGTTTGCCAACGAGCCGGACCTGCTCGAGGAGTTTACCACGTTCCTCCCCGAGTCGCTCGCGCACCACAACCGGCGCAAGCGCGGGCGCGAGGGCGCCAGCCGCGGGCGGCCGCTCAAGCGGGCCAAGATCGAGCTTGCGCCCGACGACGAGATCGGGTTCTTCAACGCGGTCAAGCGGCGGCTCACTGCGCCGCTCTATGCCGACTTTCTCAAGGCGCTGCATGTCTTCTCCAACCAGATCCTCTCGACAGCCGAGACGGTCAAATTGGTGCGGACCATTCTCGCCGGCCACCCGGACCTCATCTCGTGGTTCGAGGCCTTTGTCGACTACAAGGAGCAAGGCGCCAAGATGCGGCGGGTCCAATCGATCTCGCAGATTGACAACGATGAGTACATTGACTACTCGCAGCTCAAAAAGTATGGCCCGTCGTACCGCGCCCTCCCGACCTCGTACCGCCGCCCTTCGTGCTCGGGCCGTGACGACTTGTGCGACTCGGTCCTCAACGACACGTGGGTTGCGTCGGCCGCCACCGACTCGGACGACTTTATCTTCAAGTCCTCGCAGAAGAACGAGTTTGAGGAGCGCCTCTTCTTGTGCGAGGAGGAGCGCTACGAGCTCGACATGGTCATCGAGCAGAACGCGTCGGCCATCCGCGCCCTCGAGCCGCTGGCCTCCAAGATCCTGGAGGCTCAGAAGCAAGCCGGCACCGAAGGCCCCGGCCCGTCGTTCAAGCTGGCCTCCGAGAACGCGCTTGGCATCATTCAGATCAAGGCCATCGAGCGCATCTACGGCCACCGCGCCAAGGACGCTCTTTCGGGCCTCCGCAAGAACCCGCACGTCGCCGTCCCCATCATTCTCAAGCGGCTCCGCCAGAAGGATCGAGACTGGCGCCGCATCCAGCGCGAGTGGAACAAGGTGTGGAACAACGTCAACGCCGACAACTACCGTCGCTCGCTCGACTACCGCGGTGCGGAGTTCAAGACCTCGGACAAGAAGTCCATGGGCACCAAGGCGCTCGTCTCTACTGTCAAGGAAAAGGTAAGGTAAGCTGCTGGAGCTGCCCCCCTCCA